GTTGTTAGTAATTGCCAGTTCATTTTCATATACATATATTAGATTGAAACTAGCAATTCTAGAAAAAAAAACAGAAAATCTAAAATCTTGTAGTGATTAATAATATATTCCTTTATCTTATGCTTGAAACGCACCATTCTAACGCAGTGAAAATTGTATTACAGAACACCAAATATTAACTGAACTAACTGGTTTCAATCAGTGATTTTTTTCATTAAACATGTTCGAGAAATGAGAGCCTCTGTAATATTTCTTCCTCTCTTTAATGTCTGCAGACTCAGTCCTAAACAGTATTCATATAGATTTTATGTTGTGATAAGTCATAGAGAAGTAAAGTTACAGATAAATATAAATCATAGATAATTTACTTAATGTAATATTTCACCTACGACAAACTGCTCCATTTTTTCTGATACAAAATACTCACAAATTTGTAAAATAAATGTGTTAGATAATTTAGTCCCTTTGCTATTTTTATGTACAAATTCTGTCAGTTACATCAGTTCCATTCATTCCTTTGACAAACCTTAGTAAATTTTCAGTTGTTTGAAAATGGCATCATGTTTCAAAATTAGAGATATACAATGTTGTATTTGCTCTTTGATTAATTTAACTCTCAACAGTTTCAAAACTTGTATGAAACTAGTTTAATAACTTAACTGTGGGGTATAGTACGTCTATTAAATACTTTGATAGATATAAATTCCAATTTAATAGCAGTCAAGTAGTTGATGAAACTGTTTCACAAAATATCTATTTGTGTACAAAACATGGTTTCTGTATGTTAATAGGAGAGGTATGAAATGTGGTACATCGCATATTTAACAATAAAGTTAAAGCTCAGAATTATTATTACTACTTAAATAAGAAAGAAAATCTGACAATTGCTGACAACTCCACTTTTCAGAATTTAGGGCTTTCCTATTTCTCTCTCTTTATTGTTGACTTTTCAGAATATTGCTAACAATATGTTACATGTTCCTGTTTTAAAGAATAATTGTATATAGTGTACATAGAAATTTTAGAAATGCAGATTTGTAACTTATTAATTGTTGACTCAAAAAACTTTTAAGAATATAATGAATATAAGATAAAGAGAGTTACAATAATTTGTTCTGTTATTTACTATGTATAAAAACTCCCTAAATAATTCCTGCATATGTCACTGCTGAAGCAGATGAAATACAGATGGGCGAAAGAAAAATGGAACAGTCAGTGGATACTCCATATTGACAAATGCATCAAGAGTAAGACAGAGGAGAAAGAGAAGATAAAAGAGAGGGAAAATATCCAAGACACTACCTATGCAGATAACTGGGTCATATTTGACAGGAGAAGAGCTGTGTAGCATGGGGTGTGATCTTTGTATAAGTGACCAAAAAAGAAATAGGTTTTTTCAATCTCTACAGGAAAAGAGAAATAAGTAAATTTTGAGGAAGAGAAGTGGAGGAGGGTAGTGGAGAAGAGAAAGAACAGCAGGAACAAAGATACATGTCCCACATAGATAATGTAAATCACCTAGAATGGAAGAAATGCTTCTTCCCATAATTGTTCGTTGTGTACCATTTAATATGCTAATAGGCTAAAAAACTCTTTTACCTTTACAAATATCATGTTTATGGTACATGAAGTTATAAGAGAAGGATATTAACCAGCTGAAAGTTATACATACCTGTACTAAGCCTGTGATGGAGTGTCAATGTTCTTCTGTCACTACCATCTCAGCGAAATTCACCCAAGACTGAGTCACCACTAGTGAATTGCTAGGTTAAATGACAAGAGAATCAAGCAGATTCAGCTGGAATTAACTGAGGAGAAATGGCTCCATGATCTAAAATATAAGCTAATCAAACCCCTGCTTTTTCAGATTTTAAATTGATTATAGACGCAAGTACATTTCATCTAGAAGCAGTGCTAATCCAGCACCAGAAAAATGGAATATTTTTATATTATCCTCCCACCTACTTCCAAGTTGCCCTACTTGTCTCTTTCCTTTTAGATTTCCCAACAAAAATCTGTACGCATTCCTCTTCTGCCCTCATGTGAGTTACATAAACCTGCCCATCTAACCTCCTTGACTTGATCGTTTTAAATACATTTGGTGAAGAGTGAAAGTCATGAAACTCCTCCAGGGAATGGCAACAGTAACTGTCCTCTTGTCTAGGCACCATGTCATGAATGAATGTATACAACATACAGGCAAGACTCTGTACACTTTTGACCCTTCGTTAGGTGGCTGCCAGTGGTCAGCATCAAGTTCCGTCAGCTTTATACTCAAGGAAATATCTACTGACATGCACTGGATAGGAGGTTGGATTAGATACTAAGACGCTCTGAAAAAGGTGTTGAGAAGAAGGACAAAAATAGCTTTCTGGTGCTTAGGGGAAGGCTATAGGCCCAATATAAAAAACTTAATTTTATGAAATCTATATGTTCTTTTCTAAGTGCCAGGATAACTGAGGCTTTATAGAGACGGTCTGAAAGGCCGAGTTTCGATTCCAGGCGGGAGCAAGGGATTCTTCTCTACTCCACAGCGTCCAGACTCACTCTGGCGTCCTCCTAGTCTCCTATCCGATGGTTACCGCAGGTAAAGCGACCTGAGCGTGAAGCTGACCACTCACCTACACATGTTGCCGAGGTCAGGGATGGAGGAGCTATATATCCAGATCCCCACACGTCTTCACGGCATGATGCTTAATTGTTTAAGCACAGGAACAGCTTTACCTTTTCCTTTTAGGTCCATCTTTTAACTAAGCATCTGCAAATTCTACTTTAATGCACTTTTATTTTTTTTTTAATAATGTTTACACCAAATTATTCTGAAGGAAATCAGAGAAATAAAGAATCACAAGCTAGACTATGCGTGTGTCAAATTTCAAAACATTTACTTACTGTTGTTTACAGAAGAGCGTACGAATTTCATAAAATAACATTAAAATTATAGGACTTGCAACCAAACAAACAAAACTAACTCCGTGGCGTAGTCCGCAAGCGACCGACCGTGCGACCGCTGCTTTTCATCAAAGTTAGTGCCAAATTTTACGAATAAAGGGTGTCGCGTGGTCAGGGCAAAGTACCGCAACAGCTGTTAATTTCGGTTTTCTAGACCCGAGCGGCTATTTCCTTGACATAGCGCCTCAGTTATCCTCACGAGTCTGAGTGGACCCCGTTCCAGATCCACTACTTCTCAGAAAATCTGGTAGCGCCGGGAATCGAACCCGGAACCTCTATATCTGTAGCCAGGGACTGTGACCACTAGACCATAGAGGCAGTCAAGAATTTGCAACCTCCCATGAAACAGTGTATTCCTCTCCCCTTGTTCCTCTGCAGCCGGCAATGACACTAGGAAATAAAGAAAACCTTAACATTCCGTTGCCCTTCTAAATATTTTCTTTCAAAAAAATAAAAAAAAAACAAATTATCGGACGTCACTGTCGAGCGAGTAGTGTTTTAGTTTCTTATTCGAAAGGTACCGGGTTTAAACGCAGATTTGGAGGTTTTCGAGTTTGTACTAAATNAAGAACACAAACAAACACTAAATATCAATGCCTGGGTGGGATTCGAACTGACAAAGACAGTACATGCCTTAGACCGCTCGGCTACCGTGACCGGCAGGTTCGATGTATAGTCACTGAACAAACCGTCACTTAATGCACAAACCAAAAGCAGTATCTAGGATGAAGCATGTTCAGATATCTTACATTATGTAAGAGGAACGTGCCCAATATGACTTTCATAAAAGCTGTGCAGGTATATTCGAAGGGCATAACTTCCCTTTCATTTACTTCCACCCCCCGCCCACCACCCATTCGTGTATTAGTTCTCTGCTCATAGTTCGTACAAGTTAGCGACCGCTGCATGCAGTAAGCATCTAAATGCTAATCATTATAGCATAGATATCTGAAAAGGGGAAGCTCTTTACGCTTTGTGGTATGTGTTTTAGAATTTCATTTTGTGTATTATTTTGCAGTAATTATTGGAAACTTCAAGGAAGTTGACGTTTTAAACAGCAGTCCTGAACTGTCCGGATTCAGGTGACGTTTGGTCTTGACAGCACTCATGTGAACAAGTATACAAGTAAAACAGGGCTATTATGGTGGCATCATAAACATACTGCATTTGTGTTTTAATATAGTGTGATTTTATAGCATGGGAGATATCTGGAGAGTATATATTTCACCTAATAATGCCTTTATATTAATATACAGGTCTTGACTTAGGAGGGGACAGTGGTTAAAATATTTTTCTTATAACCGAATTTCATTGAAACTAAAATGTTTGTTGTTAAACTGATTAAAATAGTTGCCTATAACTTAGCACGACTTCTGATATTAGAATACGTTGAGTGGATAATAATTTTAAAATCGCCTTCTGAAGCCGTAAGGCCAGTTTCTAATCATAATCTGAACAAAAGAGACCCAGAATACATTTTATTGTAATAAAAAAAATTAAAAAGAGTGAGGCCATGGGTGCATCTTACAGTGGTGAATGCGGTATTCTGGAACGTGTCATATAATCCGGCAGTTGATTACCATGATTTCGAAGGAATATGCTCCCTCCAACTTCATCCCTTAAGATAGAAGCAGTATGCTCCTCCGAAACGTCGGTATCGATCTGCCAGGCTACAGGGCATCACGTTGCAGGAGACAGGGTTACGCTTTTCTGTTACTTTGTTTAGCGTCAATGGTGGTTTTCCAAACCTTGATGTAACTAAGACTTATGAACAATTAACAATGATGGAAATATAAAGAGTAGGAATGGCAGATACTTCCGTTTAGTATGAACTGCCTTAGGAACTAAAATTTTAAGTACTATTTACGATTTTACTTCCCTGAAACCTACGGCAGTGCGTAAGAATTATTGCCTGTTTCGTGACGTCAACTCACGAGGCCCTTCAGAGGTCTGGGTCTTGGGCGGCTGCGCAAATCGCTACCCACGAGGAATGGTTTCGATGGAAGTTGACATTTAGGCAAAGTCTGCAGTCTCTTGTACTGTGAGCTCTGTTTAGGATCGCAGAGTGGGTCGGCTTTAGCCTGCAGTGATGGTCGGGCACATTCTCTCTTCGAAGAGGAGGCTCCATTTCAAAACAGATATAATGCGTCATAGGTCCCGACGGGGCCACAAGTTTAGAATAACTATGCCGCCGAAGACCAGCAACAAATTACAGTTTTGGTTCCTCCTTCATTTTGACTACTTGATTAAGGTTAAAGTCCACACCATGAGAATACATATTCAGGCTCCATGAATTCTTGATTTCATCACTAGATGGAAGTGAACGGTAAAAGTAAGATAAAGTTGTCCCTATGCATTAGGGGGAGTGGATGTATAGAGCCACATTTTCTTGACCTCGACACTAGCTGGATGTGAGTGGTCAGCTTCACGCTCCTGCCGCTTTACCCCCGGAGAAAGAGCCCCCAAGTACCCATTGGATTGGAGATTGGGTGGACCCCAGAGCCGGTCTGGACGACGTGAAGAGAAAATTCTTGACTCTACCGGGACTCGATCTCCTACCTTTCGGCCTTCCAGCCCGTAGCCAGTCGCTATACCGACTCCGCTTTTGGCTACTTTGTCTCCAGTGACGAAATCCTCTGTACATATTGGATAGAGGTATCAGTGGGGCCCAGAAATGGTGCCGTCGTTTTGCTAAACAGAAAAACTTCTGTCCCTGGCCGGTTTCAAACCTAAGTCATGCGGCCCATAAATAGCCACCTTGGTTCAGAATTCCATATAGATTTGTAAATATTCTGAATGTAGTGAGTTGGCTTAGATTACATTTTGAATTTATTTTTAAAATTTTCTAGATTTTGAACATGCTTATGCAATCCTTTGCTTTCAACCAAGAAAGAAGGGCTCTTCACTGTCATACTGGTGACCGCTTCATTCCTCGCAGATGTCGGCTCAACACAGACAATTTTCTGTACACCCAGGCATTATCAGAGGCTTTACAAGAGGAGGACATCTTGAAACAGGTATGCGGATGCTACTCCTAGTAAACGTTTGCATTAGTCTGTTCAGTACATTATCAATGGTTCATCATTACACAGGTAGCATCTCTGAGATTTGTTCCGACCCAAGGAAATCGTGTGTAACGTACACACAAAAGAAACCCACCAAAACTACAAAAAGGGCCCCAAAATTGAATAAACCTGTAAGATGTGAGGTTTTGACAGCAGTGACTATGAAGAATGCCGTCTTCTGGGATGTGGTGACGTGTAGATATTGTGTGAACAGGCGTTTCGGAGGAAAGTATCGCCTCCANATGGAACAATATTTGTAAGTAAAGTAAAAGTAAAGGTATCCTTGCAACAGGCCGTGGAGATCTATAGGATTGTGAGATGTTGAGGTTCCCACATTTTCTAGACAATCGGCTCACTGATGGCGGCAAGGTTTTCAGCCTTAGACGCCGGCCGCCCTTCATCCCCAAGAACATTCCAAGAATATTCCTGGTACTCATTTCTGACAGAGGCTGAGTCAACCCCAGGGCCACAGTGAGACTGGAAAATTAGGTCAATTGAAGACATCTAATGACCTCATCGGGACTTGAACCCGCGACCTTCTGGCTTGTAGCACAGTGCCTCAACCAACTACGCTAACGCGTGCCCCTTAATATTTATAAAGATTTCACAAATATTAAAACTTTTTGAGAATTATGATCAATTTACTGTTTCTGTACAAGATTCCCAGAACACCCTCTACCAAGATGGACACACCCGACACTTTGGAAACCACTCGGTTAAAACATACCCAAGTGTACACTCTGCATTCTGCTACAATGCAGGCAGACATTTGCCAGTGGAGTCTGAACTCATGTCTGATAGCTCATGTTCGTCTTACGGCACTAACTTGTTGACTAATGATGTTACAGACACATCGCAATGTGTTTTGGTCTCTTTTGTTACTGAAGATACTGGGAATTAATAGGAGACATATATGAATAGAGACTACTGAAGTACATACCATATATTTATACATAATACACTGATCTTTGATTGTAGCTGGCTGCGTTCCCCTCTTAAGCACATTTCCTTCTTGGGGCAGTTAGGGAGTTTAATGTTCTCACAATTCCATAATTTACCCAGATAAAATGCTGTTGCATTCTTAATCCACCTCTTTCCACCACCTAATTCTAATTGTGTTGATGGATTTGTAGTCTATTACTCCAGCGTACACTATCACGTCAGCTCTTATCCATTATCAAGTCCCAGCTATCAATCATTTTTCATTATGTTTCAAAATAGAAACTTCACTGTGCACTCTACGGTTTTGTCATACTTTTGGGGTTCATGGCCTCACAGTGCACTGTGATGAGATCCACTATTCGTGTCATAATTCTTAAAATAGTTTGGTTTACATATTTGCATTACTTGTTTAGACTGCTGGTCATGATTTAAAAAAAAAAGATCAAGAGAAATTAATTTTTATTTTATGACAGCACAAAAAAGGAACGACAAATGTGGATGTCATTTGGCTCTTTGTCCAGCTGTGCTTTTGCGCTGGTCCTGCAGAATACTGAATTATGTTCCCATACCATTAAAAGTGTATTGACATGAAATGGACTGATGATGTGAAAGAGGGATAGGTATAAAAAGCGTCAAAAAAATAAATATTGCTTCTTCCAACTTTCATTAATTTCTTACAGTCCTTAGCGGCCTGCCCAGTACTTCTTTGAACCTATTACTATGCACGTAATATATTCAATATGTATTATTTCAGGATATCTGCAATATCTATGTGGAAGAATATGGCAGGCTATTGCAGTCAGCTTTGAACCTTAGTCATGCACATGCTCGGCTGCTAACATTCTGCTGCTCATCCCCACCAGAAGAGAAAGCACCTAAAGAGGTGTATCAGTGGCCTATTAGATGCCGAAGACGACCACTGATTAAACAACCACATCACTTATTGGATTTGCCAAATTTCAGATCCAATTTTTGTATGCATTAAATCATAAATTTCATTAAATTATTTGAAAATGTTTTGTTAGTTTGGTTAGTTTTAGTCTGTTTAACAATTCTTTCTTGTGGCATTGATCATACAATGTCAAATGAGAGGATGATTATGAACAATGGAAAAGGATGGCTCTAGAAGGAAGCAGTTATATCCCATTTTAAGGCATTGTACCAGAATTTGTCCAAATTTATTTTTATTTCTAGTTCATTTAATGATGCTGTCAGTAATTCACACTACACAATGTCAAATGGCTGAAAAGAAATTTGAAAAGTTATGAAATGAAGTGGTCATACTATGTAAGATATTATAATTGAATTTTTCTGGAGGAACTGAGGAAACATCAAATTTGTTCTCAGTCTGAATATTAGGTGTCCTCATAGAGATTCAAATGAACACCTCCCAAATAAGAGTCAGTATTACCATTTGACCCATTTGCTTTTTCTTTCTTCTGGAGTTACTGATGGAATCTGTGAAAGGACTCAATCATGATAACAACCCTTCACCCTTTCACATTTAAAAATGAAATGTTATTTGATTCACTAGGATATGTGTATTAATCTAATTTAATTCCCAATGAATTTAACAACTGTTATTTAACGCTTTTTTGTAATTTATGTAGCAAAGCTGTCAGTAACTGGACTATATAATCTGGAACATAACTTCTACTTCTCTGATATTTAAAGCATAAAACAATAAATGCCACAATTATATATACAGTAAAACTTGGTTATAGCAACATCGGTTTCTGTGACACCTTGTCTATTGCGTCAAATATTCAATGGTATGAACTAATTCCTCATAAAGCAACTGTTTTTATACCTTGCTTAGTATGACATGCACAAATGCATCAACCTCGTATGTAACGTCATTTTCATTCCTGAATTTCTCTGATATCGTGGGAAAGTTCGATGTGTCTGCCCACCCTCACTTTCTCTACTTGCCGACGTGAATGTCCTGGAAGAATACGACCGCGGGCTGCAAGAGGGGCGTGGGTTTTATGCGAAAACAAGGGTGTGGTGTGGGACTGCGTGAATAGTGCAAGAGGATGCGGCAGGTTGTTAACAGCATTGCTTTCCTAGAATCTCGTCTAACAGGACCTCACATTGTCTACTTACCCTATAGTGTACCTGCCTATACCCAGAGAAGTGCAGTAGCGAAAACATGGCGTGACTAACATAAGGCTACTATGGAAGTGCCCATTTCGGTTACAACGACATTCATTTATAATTACATTATTTTTAGGTCCCTTTGATGACGTTATAACCAAGTTCTACTGTATATATAAAGCTAAAAATTATTCTAATATGTTAAAGACTGAGTTGGTATGCTAGACAGTTCATAAATTCAGTATACATGGGAATATAACATTAAAGAGAACTCAGAGAAACATGGCATTAAACTGGCTGGATACAACAGGCTTAGGATACAGCCCAGCAGCAGATATTTGTTAAGTATGATGATGAAACTACTGTTCCCAGAAAAGCATGAAATGTTATTACCTGAAAAAGTGACATTTATAATGAAGGCCAGTGAGACTCACTGAAGCTAAGGCATATCATCCAATCAACTTGTCTCCCTTAATGAAGATGATAGATACACTTGTGTAGAAGCACATTAGAAAAATGTAATGAAGAACTATCCCTTGCATCAAAATCAATCTGCCTACAAAACTGGAAAATCCATTCAAACTGCACTTTACAATATGGTACTACACAGTGGCAGTACAGCTTAACACAAGGAAAGATCCTTAGTTGTCTTCCTTAATACAGAGGGGCTATCTTACATAACCTCATCTGAAGTGCTAAGACTGAAAGGTACAGAGATAATTCCAACATTATTTGGTGAATTTACTTTATGCTAGAAAGTGGAAACATAACATCACACTACCACAAGAAATCCTTAACTGGTAAACAACCTGCAACAGCCCACAGGGAGGCNTGGGCGCGGCATACAGGCTCTTGTTCATCGATGGCAAAAGTGCATAGCAAATGGTGGTGATTATGTGGAAAAATAGCTGTAAGTAGCTGAAATCTTGCTCTATTTAACTGCGTTATTATGATTTCTGTATCAGTCGTAGTTTTCTTTAAAAAAAAAAAAGGAGGCATTATATACAGAACGCCCTTAGTACATTACTGGACGACAGGACTACAGTTACAATAAAACCAACTCAGCTCAACTCCCCAATACATATTTATGATGTGGTTCTCAGTTAAGCATAGGGGCAATTTTACTTATTTCGCTGCTGAACCAGTAATGTGTGTTGCAGTTCTGAATCTATTAGACTGGGGGCCATCAAACTATTTGGCTGCTTCTCTGCACAATTCTGTTTATTTGTATGCTACTGGAGAGGACACTACAGAGCTCACTACCATTGCAAATGGCTACTACTCAGCTGTCAAGTGGGATTCTATTGGAGAGAAATTAGTTATAGGAACTAATAACTCTGCTATACAGGTGAGAATTTTGTTATAGTGGATGTACACTGCAAATAAAAAATTGTCTTTGGATTTATCTTGCAATAAAAATGCAGAAACATTAACATGTAATGAAGCAGTCGGTGAGTTATGGGTTTCATTTGCTGTTATGGTAGTTCAAATCAATTCAGTTCTTTATTTTTGCATTCTAACTCAGCAGCTACAGAAGACAATTGAAGAGTTGGCACAATAGAACAAATAAAAATTGAAAGAAACAATACAGTGGTATAGGACAAACTTGTGCATGTAATATATTCTATTGCATAGTACTAGCACTCTTTATTAGCTGCAGAATTATTCAATTCAGTATAATTAATTAATGACAAAGCATTTGAAATCTGTAACAATTTCCTCAGGTATGGAACACACGAAATAGAAACCTGCTTGCAGAGACAACATGTAACTGTGCTGATTCCTTGGTTAGCAAGTGTCTTATTAACGCTCTGGCCTGGCATCCCAGTGACACAAAATTTGTAAGGTAATTTGGTTTTAAAAGTATGATATGTACAGAGAATTTGATGGCTTCTTGGCTTTTTTCATATATTGGCCATCAAACCTCTAAATTATGAGTATTTCTTAATCGTGCCTCATCTTTTCCAGCTTCCTTTAAATTTTAACTATTTCCTACGCCATTTCAATGTATTGCATCTTGTCCTGAGTAATTATGGTTCGACACTAGAATGAGAACTAATTTAACAAAATTATTACATTATATGAAAACAAAATTAAAAACGTAGGAACAGGAATAAAATACATGAATTAAATTCTTTTCTCAAAAAATCATAAATCTTAAAATATATTTATCATATCATTACCAAAAGAATATTTATATTTAGGTCTTGTTTGAATAATACATTTTTTTAACTGGAACCATATATATTATTTGGATTTTCTGAAGGGTAATACAGTTCTCATCCTCCATAAACAATCTTTCCAGCGCACCAAAATAAACCCAGCAGGTCAACTGAGTATGAGGCCAGACAGTTTAGTTGGTGTAGTGTCAGGCTTCAAGCCATACAGCTTTGGTTCGATTCCTGGCAGGGTTAAGAGATTTTTCTCTACCCCCCAGGAGCCAGACCGAAAGTGGGGCACACCCAGCCTCCTATACATTGGGTGCTGCATGCTTCTTACCCAGAGATAAAGCAGTCATGACATGCAGTTGTCCATTCACTTCCATCTAGTTCATAGGTCAAGAATGGTGGAGCTATACCTCCACTCCACAATATATCTTCATGGCGTCATGTTTAATTTATTAATCAGTGAGACAATTATAGGCTTACTTTAGAATATTGTGAGAGTGGAGAGTGGTATGGTTACATCTTCTGGCATTAGCGTGCCTCTCATTTGATTGAAATATCGAGACTCCCCTTTCTAGATTGTTCAAGATATTGCTGAGCTGATGCTGAAGGCTGTGGTCGCCCAAGCACTCGTGGGAAACCTTCTGAAGAATGCAATGCCATGACATCTAAGGCTGAAGACAATGGTGGAGCACCTGGAGAGACCGGCGTCCGGGGGACTGCTGTGGACAAGCAGCCTTGACAAGGGAATGGTATCACCAAGGATGTGATTCTAGCCTAGGAGAGCTTCTCATTTGATCAAAATTACAAGACTCTCCCTTTCCACATTTTTCAGACAGGAGCAGATGTGAAGTAGTGAGTGCTGTGAGTTGTCAGTTCATTAGTGAGTCAGTGAGCTAGGGTACTTCGTATCAGTTTAGTGATAATAGAGAAGAGGGAAGAAAAGGTGAGCAGAGTGAGTGAACAGTGGTGTTGTGGAAAATGAACAGAGAACTGACCTGAAGAGCATAAGGTCAGGAGTAAAATAACTATTCCAAAGATCAGTAAGCATTACAATACCATATATAGTTAAGAATATGTTAAATCCTCTGAGAATCTATCTGACTTGATGGGCCATTGATGCAAATTTGAAATATAATGTATTTATTTCAAGAAGTTTATTTTCCAGTTCCCCAGTTTGGACTTCTATTATAGTGTTTTCTATACAAATCACAATTAACAGTATCACTGCCTCATATATAACATCAGAGTCCATCAAAAATGTGGTAAAAAGATAAAGTTGTCATTGTGCTTAATTAATTAAACACTAAGCCATGAAGATATATGGAGGAGTGGAGCTACAGCTCCACTATTCTTGGCCTCAGCATTAGATGGAGGAGGTGAGTAGTCAGCTTCATGATCCGGCCTCTTTAGCCCCAGTACCAAATTGATAGGAGGGTGGGTGGGCCCCCGAGCCAGTCTGGAAGTCATGGAGGAGAGAAAATTTTTGCCCTTGCTGGGAGTCAAACCCTGGCCATCCAGCTAATAGCCTTTCACTATAATGACTGAGCCAACCCAACTCCCACTAAAATATTGTATAAAACTTAGTGTAGTTATAAAATTCATTGGCATACAGTTCAACTTATTTGTATTCCTGTGTGCAGTGCTTGCTCAAATGGAACTTTGCTCTTGATTCCACTCTCATCCTTTCAACTTCGAAGTGAACAGACATCTATTTTACGAGCTCATGAAGGTCAGATTTGCAGTTTGCGATGTTCCCAAGATGGTCGGTTCTTGGCATCATCAGGTGAAGACAGTGCAGTGAGACTGTGGCTTTGGCCTTCGCTGACACCAGGAATGGAGATTATTAACTTTGGTGATCCAGTAAGGGTAAATTGAACATTAAATTCAATACCTCATCTTGAAAGTCTTTGTAATTTTGGTAAGTGCTGGAGCAGATATGGACACCAGTACAATACTTTTCATTATGTTTAAACATTTAAAGAGGGGGGAATAAACATATTATACACCACAGCTTTGTAATTTTGGTAAGTGTTGGAGCAGATATGGGCACAAGTACAATACTTTCTATTATGTTAAAACTTTTAGAGAAGGGTGAATAAATATATTATACATCAGTGGTTCTGAATATTTATCAGTCAACATATCCCTTAATCTGGATATGATACATTAGAGGCCCCCCTCTCAGTGGTGATAACAGTCTAATTGTCTATTGCCAAAATGATTATTCCATTTAAACATACTATTTTATCCATGGATAGAAAAAGATACATATTGAAAACACAATGACAAATTCCAAAACATACCAAAAACTTGTTAGTCTAAACACTGTTGCTGCTTACTAGCAACCAACATTTCAGGTCTGACTGACATTTTTGACAGAGCCACATGCATGTCATTTTTAACTTTTAGTTTGTTCCTTACTTTTGAATTGCAGAGATAAATTGTGACAGACACAGCTAGAATTTTGTACCATTGAGTAGATAAGTCCAACTTAATAAGATAGAAAGAGTTAATTATAAGCCCTTTAACAGAAGTTCACAAAGCAAATCAGTGGGACTTACAGAAAAACCTGCTTCATTAATTAAATGATTGCATTCAACCATATTATTTTCAGGCAATGGCATGGCATCCATGGAAACCTTCATACTTAGTCATTGGGAGTTCAATAAGTGGATCCATCAGTCTGTGGAATGTTAATAAATATACCCAAGAAGCTCATCATACATTAGGCTCTTCAGCTTTTGTGTGCAGCTTGGAATGGAGTCCAGTTACTGGAGAACTGGTAGCAGGCATCTGGATCTCAGGTGAGCCACAAGAACTGCAATTCATTTACTGACATGTCACTACCATAAATGGACCCCATAATGCTTTCATTTTGATATGCTGAAGTCTAATTACCAAATCCATTTATATATAAATAGAAAATTTTATTTTTCTTGGATGTTAGGAAGATAATCGTTTCTTATGTAATTCAAGCTCCCACAATTCAGAATTCATTGTAAGTGAATTGAATCAGGAAATGGAGACACATGAGGGATCAATAGGAGCTAGGGTGGTAATATTAATATAAATCTTAAGGAAAGATTGCAAAAGTGGATAGAAATAACTCAGGATTTTGTCCAGTTTTGGGCTGTGGTGAAATGAAACTCCCATTTAAGATTTCTCTGTGTACCAGTGAAATAGGATATTAAATTGAGAACAATCTGAAATAAAAGAAATTTAACTCAGATTATTGATTTGCATTCATTGAAATTCAATAACGAATTAAGGAAAAGGTTAAATTAAGAAAGCTTAATTAGTTGTTCTACTGCATTATCAGTCTTGAACCAAGTTCCACTCCCAGAGATTCAGTTTGATGATGTGATGAAGATAATGACAATGTAGATGAAGAAGATGAAGACAACAATGACAAAATTTGTAAAATGATTTGACAGATCTCTAGGGAATATTATAGGTCCTGAAAGTTAATAGAAGTAGGGAATTTCCTTGCCATATTTTTCCATTACATCAATATGAATGTGTAGACACCTCCATCATATTAATATATATGCATTGCAATAAATTTTATTGTAATATATGACATTGTACTTAATCTCACAATATTTGTTCTTTACGTAGAACCTGCAGAAGATGAGCAGGAACCATTAGGACGGTCTGTGCTTGTGGTTTTGAAAACGCTGAACAAAGTTGTTGACAGAATGGAATGTTATGCTGGACAAATCTTCTACCTCTTGTGGAGTCCAGATGGCAGGCAGATTGGTGAGATATCTATATTTCTATAATATGTCACATTATTAATTGGCAGAGTACAGGTAGCAAGCAGAACTCTATAGTGTGCTGCTGAAGCCTGTGAAATAGGATGTGCACAAAGCACTTCATCATTGCATAGAAAAGCAATGAAAGCTGAGCAGCACAATGACATGGAAGAGCCTTAAGCCATTTTTACTCTTTCAGCAGGCTATATATTAAATATCTGGTATTGTTAAGATATGCATCTTGAACAATTCAAAAGAATACTCATAGAATATCAATCTTATACAGAGTTTTGAATGCTTATAAAGATGCTGAGATGCAATAATATGATGAAGAGGTAAATCAAAGCATGCACATGAATAACAGTGGATTATTGTCATGTATTGGAGTAACTATAGACGTGGTTTTGAATTGGCAAATCGATTTATTGACCACTTAGGGGTCATAACTGTAGGGCTGCGCCATAGCTCAAGCGGTTAGTCACTGATTTCTCACTGCAGCGGCCCAGGTTCAATCCCGGGTCTGGTCAAGTGGGATTTGTGGTGGACTAAGTGGCGCTGGGGCAGGTTTTCTCTGAGTACTTCGGTTTCCCCTGCCAATCTTCCTTCCACCAATTGCTCCACAATCACCCTCACCTATCTGGGGCTGGTATAATAGGTCAAAAGTGGCCGCAGTACAAGGGACTTAGTCCCACCCCACTAGAAATACAAAAATAATAATAATACAGGTCATAACTACAACAAATTATAACACTCTAAGGATAGCTGTAATTATAACACATAAATAAATTCTTCTACATCCGCTTGCACTGGTCATTGCTACGTAACAGAACTTAACTATGGCTAAATCTTGGCAATGTTTTCATTATCCATTTCCTGTCAACACATTTTACACAAGAACTATAAAATTCTCACTTAATATTACACTCCCAATATTAGTGTACTAAGCACACATAAAGTCTTCGAATCACCTGTTAAGTCTTCACACACAGACTTTTAATTCTTCTTCCACTACGAACTTCCCATGTCTGACTTCCATTCCCCAGTCTAATGCTGTCAACAGGGTTGTAGTGCCAAATGTCTTCAAGATAACTCCTCAGTATGGACCACTCACAGAAAACATATGTCACATATTCGCTATTTCGTCAGTCAACTGGGGTGCTGCCTGGACCCATAGGAAACATATCATGTGACTGCCACCCAGCAAGCTCATTGGCATGCTGACTGCTGCCTAACAACAAGCTATAACATTTGTCCTACTGTTGCATGTGCTTATCACAGGGCGTTTATCTAGCCCTTGCTTAACAATGTTTTCAGCAAATCTATTAAATATGAATAAAATATCTCCTTTTCTGCAGTGTCTTACAGATTTATCTTAATTTTCCAATTTTTACATAAGAGAAGTTATGTACCAATAAAATGAAAACTCTGAAGTTACACAAATTCAGGTTACCATAGCAATGAATTTTTGAACATTGATGTTGAATGAACATAACAGGTCTCAAATGAGCAGAGAGTATTGTAGTTCAGTGTACAGTGTCTATTCTGTGAGCACTGAAAATATAGTGATGTGAATTGTAGTATATTGTATGATGAATCTGATTTATAATTGACTATTTTCTCATATTATTTGTGGAAGATGGTGTTGAACACTGTCATAACACGTAGGACAGCAAAGGATACAAGAGAAAAGAAGGAAGTTATTTGTAAAATGTTTACATAGCTAATGATGGGTCTTCTAATTAATTCTCAATGGGTGTTAAACCGTTGTATCTATAAAAACATAAAAATAGAATAATTACTGCACAAAACAGCATTTTCACATGATTTTTATACATACAGCCACAGCTGGCTCTGACGAGGCACTCAGAATCTGGTACTTCCTTGGACCATCTTCTACAAGGGAGAAGGATATTAGGAGATTCCTGAAACCACTGATGCCTGCATCTTTCAGAATGCTGCCATGTATTAAGAAAAGGAACCAGAATCGTAGTTCTTACACACAAAAAGTCAACAAAAGTAACTTGAGTTCATTTATGGAGGAAATGCATTACAGTATAAATTACAACAGTTTTGGTTGCATAATTCGTTAAAAATCATTACATGTAATTTATGTAAATAATTCTATTTTACTCCTCCATGTATCCTGATACAAATTCTGACTCATGGGCACAGTGACAGTCCAGATAATTATCCCATGACTCTTGGCTTTTTAGCCATTTCAAGTAATCTTAGCCCTCCAGTCGTTCAAATATATTGTTAGGCCCTGCAGTGTGCCACTTGTATTGGGATACAAGCTGTTAAATAGAGGATTTCTTGTAGATATGGTGTCGTGATTTGCTTTTATGCTATATTATAAGTATGAATCAATTTTTAATAATAGCTTAATCAACCAGATCTTATATCTGCTGTGCATGATAAATTACTTCTTTAACAAATTATAAACAGTCACATATTCTGTGGTAGGAACACTAATTGCACCATTGGAAACATTATATTTAATCAGTAAAAGTGTAATAGGATATGTGCCATGAGACTTTATTTTTATTGGTTGGTTTTGTGTGTTTTATATGCATGTATGTTGAATGTTTTGATAATGTACAGTTTATTTAATTTTGAAAAACCTTTCCAAATAGTTATTTCATTCTCCAGTTTGTAGGGACAGTATTTTTTACTACATAATGAAAAATGAAATCTCTTGTCTATGCCATAATCTCCAAACAATTACTTTTGCAACATTGACAATAGTTAATTGATTTAACTGAAAAATTATTCCAAATGAGAGAACTGTAAGTAAAAGCTGTAAGTGTTATGTGTATCGTGAGATTCAGAGTGTGGTAGTTAATGGTTCTACATAGTCAATGAAATATTACATAATCTCAAGTCTTAAATTTTAAAAATTTCAATATTTCATTCATGTTTCATTGAATTTTAATGTTAGATATTTCTAGAAAACAAACGTGTTATCTCTTTCTTGTTTTAAACGACCTTTTAAATGACTGAATTTATCCATTCACATTACATAACATGGTCTATACAGTGTCTGGTAAGTCAATACATATTTTTAAATTTCTGTAAAAGTTTTATTTGAGAAGTGATTTCAATGAAAAGAACTGTAAATGATAAGAATCTTCCTTAAATTTTTGTGCACAACACTTAAAATTCTCTGTGATCTCTTGTATTTGCAACACATTTCCTTAAATGAACTGTCATATTCGCTACTATAGACTGCAACATGTATTCAGTAATGGTGGTAAGTTCATTGGTTATGGTTTCTTCCAACTGTTTCAGATTTTGTGGTTTCCTGTGACAAACTTGTTCCTTGGCTTACCCCCATATTAAAATGTCACAAGGTGGTCTGTTTTGCAATGTCATTCATGGACACCATGTCTACCAATCTGTCACCCTGTTAAATGGTCATGCAGCCATGCACAGACATCATTTGCAAGATGAACATGTACCTTATCTTGCTATCTTGCATGAAATGAAGTGTTGTAATGTGTTCCATTGTGAGATTATCTGCCACAGCCTTGAAACATTTTGAGGTATCATACAGCATTCACTGTACCCCTCAAAAGGCAAGGTTCAATAAGTGTGGGTGCTGTAACACCACACTAAGGTGTCGCCTTCGGATGACACCACATTTTCTGCACATTGGTCTGGATAAATTTTCAGACAACCAGTAATGAAAGTTGCATTGATTCACAAACTCACCAACATAAGACACTGCCTCATCACTGCACACAGTGTTATTAAATAACTGTGACCAGTCATCATTCCATCCCAGAAAAGATGCTGTCATCCTTCTGTCACAGTCATCAGGAAACAAATGTTTCCCAAAATGGGTTTTCCAAGGTTTGAAACAGTTATTTTCTGAGGATGGTTTTGACTGTATAGAGTGTGAGCCCACTTCCATGAACACCTGTATGTATTTCCATAGGATGCTTAGAAACATAACATTTACTGTGGTAATGTTCTTGGTAGTCAGCAAGGTTGATGTTCATCCTGATTTTGCTTCATCCATGACACAATCTGTTGTCATTAAATTTTTATGGCACTTTTTGTTCTTTTGTGCATTCAGTGTTGGATGAAATCCATGTTCAGCCTTCCACCACCCCTCAACGCATACCCTAGTCCCAAAACCTCATAATAGGTTGGGATTTTGGCTCTCTCTTGCACACTTACCATTGGAAGTATTATTCCTCTGAGAAACATTCATGTTATTCCTATAAATTCTTATGGAATGGTCTGGTATTTGCTTGTTTCATCAAAATCAGTTCACAAATATATTTTTTATAATTTAAAAATCTGTACTGACTTGTCAAAAAGACTATAGCTGTCATAACTGTAGAGTTTGAGAGGAATTGTAAAAACATTTCCAATTTCATGGTTAAAAAGAATCGGTATTATTTTTTTTACTTCTTCACTATCATCATATTCATATTCAGGGATTGAAAAATATAATTGCCAGCTGATCTGAGGTTAGTTAATTTCTTGAACTTGTAAGAAAAATTCACCATAGTCATTATATTAATGGACCATAATCTACATGATTCTGTAAGATGCAGGATGCTGCATGAAACAAAATTAATGTGTTAATGTAACTATAAATGTATGCTTTAGCAAACCAGTTCTTTATGTTATTTTGAAGTTTAGTGCAAGCAATAGGCTCCACTAAATTTTCAAAGTTAAAATAGAATGTTATACAAGGTCATTGCTTTCTTATTTATCTTCTGTCTGTATTAATTCCATACATAGATTTGTTGTAATTTGTTTTATAAATCTTCATTAACAAAAATTGGTTAATACATATTTAAAAAAAAATGACATTTCTGAACCTTAATAAATTCACCTCTCAAAGTCCGTCCAATTTCCAGTGTTCAAAACTGTTTCGTAAAATGTTACAACCGGTGTAAATTTACCAGCGAAGGATTAAAATTTTGTATACAGACACATAAAATAAGGCTTTAGGATTGCAGATGAATTTATGGTTTTGCAAGATAGACTTCGGTCAGTCTGCTTTTACCGGTTCTCACGGTCTCTTCGCTTGCGGATTTCTTATATTTTTCATTCTACCCTGAAGATGGAGGCGATACGTTCCTCCGAAGCGTCGGTTAACACCACATATATACGGTGCCAAATCCCAGAAGACTGCTTTCTTCATAGTCACCGCCGTGAAAGCCTCAAATCCTACATACGTAAGAACGGTTTAACACTTGTATACTTAATGAACTGATAATGAACTGGTGTTTTTTAGAGTTTATTGAGCACATTCTTTTGCATTTGTTATATTCTTGTGTATTTAAACTCTCATATATTGAAATGTTCCTCGTTCTCAAGCTGCAAATTACGTTTCGATTCGCCAAAGAGCCCGTTTGTTCCTACATTGTACCCTTTCCTCTTGAAACCCTTTTGTTACACGCAACCAGTAACACAACTTCTCGTTCAGTCTTTACATTTCTCCCTGAATTAGCGATAGCACTAGAGTTACTTGTAATTACAATCATTAAGGGTCTAATAAATCTGATTACCAATCCAAGATCGCTCTAATCACGTGACAGTATATAAGAAATATTATTATGGCAAAAAATAGATCACGACATATCGACAGATTTGCATGTCTAATCCCTCAGAAAACGAATAAATGTTGTTTCGAATGTCGTCTCTCGACCTGTATGTATGTACAGAGTCTGTCAAGGAAACCTGGTGGTTTCTAAATTAGTATAATAGTAAAAACGTCAGGTTCCTCTGCCGAAACCTGCATGTATGTATGTGTCCGACCTCTCGCTAGCGCCTGACCTTTTGGACGGATATATTCATGTACATTGTTTAAGAGTAATGTTGTATTTTAGCGTCCTGTTGCACTGATTTTCATCCATGATACGTATGTAATGGCCGTCTTGTAGTGCACTCAATTTCATATGTCGCTTCTTACTACATGTTTCGGCAACATAGTTCCATCTATGTACATTATTCGTCAACTACATGTATAATACAATTTGTAGATACTAAAACTTATTAAGATTATTCATCTATATGTCTTAATTCAAACTCGCGTATAGTATGGTCGTCCACTATGGGAGTCGTTTCTATGTGTACTGTGTCTGTGATGTGTCCTTCCTTTTTGGCTGCGAGTTCATTGGCCGGTGGATTTGGACATTCTAGATGTTCTAGATCCATAAATGCCTTTCCTTCAGATGCCCTCCCCTCAAAAGATGGCGCCTTTCTCGAAAGTGGTTGCAATAGTTTTGATTAAAAGTCACTAGTTTATAGAGATCACCTTAAATTATGCTCTGTAGGAGCAGTCTTAAGGAAGATAATGGTATGCAGAGTAGGGCCCCAAATGTTTACATAACACATACATTCCCATTTTGTGTAATCAGCTACCAGTAACAGCCTGCCAAACAAAATTCAGCTTCGCTTTCAAAGTAACGTAGTGAAGGTGTATCGTGTATGTTAAAGCATGTGCAGCGTATTTGCACTGCTTACTTTCTCATATTTGTAAGAGGATTGCGTGTTAGAGAGTGCTGTGATTGTGAAACTAATGTGTTTCGATATATTGACGGATTTAAACGTTTTTAGTAACCAAGCATTACGAGTTGTTCTTGTTTATGTGTAGTTTTGATCAGTTCGAAAAGAGAATTACCAAAAAATCGACACAGCATGCTTGGATATCGACCAAAGAAGATTAAATCTCTGAAAAGCTTGTTGTGAGGATAGGAATTATGATTGGTTAACTCACGATTATATCTAATTCTGCTAGTGGAGTTGAAATTTTGGCTTCATTACAAAGGAAGTTACGCCGTGATACGTGGTAATGATCCATTGTATTAAAAGCTATAAGCACTCACTGGAGCCAGGATAGCTCAGTGGATATAGCGATTGGTTACCAGCTGGACAGCCGAGGTTCTATTCCCTGTAAGGTTAAGGGATTTTTCTCTATTCCATAGGGTCCAGACTGGCTCCGGGGACAAGCCAATCCCTTATCCGATTGGTCCCCAGCGCTCTTCCCCGAGGAGGTAAGGCGGCACGTGCGTTAAGCTGACCACCCACTTCCACCTAGTGCTGAGCTCAAGAATGGTGAAATAATGCCTTTACTATCCCATAGATATTTATGGTGAAGTGCCTAAATTCTTAATGAATTAAGTGCAGGGACAACTTTACATTTTATGATCACGACCTTCCCATATAATGGGCATTGTCATCATTCTCGGATTTTCAAGAAGAGTAGAAACATATTTTCCAAACTTATTTCCACCTGCTTTACATACTTAACATGTCTTGGCGGTCATTTATTTCCCAGGCACACATACACGTATTCGCATGAAGTTAGAAACAGTTTTCTTTTGTATATTGTAAAGTATTTACCTCAAGACATGTTTCAGATAAATTTTTCTAATTATAACGAAATTTGATGTGGTTTCGCAGATGATGGCACCTTTCTGAGAAATTGGAATTTCGATTTCATGTAAAGTAACATTTGTAATTGACAAAATGCAACAAAATTTACTTCACCTTGCAACATTTAGTGTAGATACCAAGTAAAAAGTAAAGCTATCCTTGTAACAGGCCGTTAAGACCCACAGGGTTGTGAGACGTTGAGGATCCCAAATTATCTAGACAATCTGCTCAAAGATGGCGGTAAGGTTGTCAGCCTTACGCGCCGTCCGCACTTTACTCCCCTGGAAAATTATTTAATTAATTCCTGGTACTCATTTCTGTTAGAGGCTGAGTCGACCCCAGGGCCGTAGTGCGGCTAGATTAAACGTTCAAACACAAGTTTCCGTTAAAATATGTGGAACATTCGGATAGTATAAAAACAATACTCTGTTCGTAATCATCTTGACTTACATCAATGTTTCCGAAATTCAAGGAGCTCTGTATCAAAAAAAAAAAAAAGATGATTTGTGCTTAGACAGTAAAGTGAAGAAAATCCTGATTATGCAGTCGGAATGTTTCATTTGAAGCCTAATAACGTAATGAATTCCTAATTTAGAGTTGAATTTCGGACATATGCAGGTTTATATTAGATCTAGTAACCAAATAGTTAAGGCTTTTAAAAAGTTAAATGGATTGTACAGAATAGAAAGTTTATATTATGCTCAGTGAATAAATGAAAAACCACACGAGTGACTAGTTAGGTGGAGTAGATTAAAAGAATTTATATTAAATTTAATAAGTAAATAGAGAAACATAAAAAATAAAGTTAGGATATTATGCACGTTTCTGTTGCCTTCAGCAAATTATTGCTTCAGGATTTAACTGACTAATTTCGTGGATCATGAAGTTCATGAAGGATTAAAATTGTTTAGTAATTCTATAATCCACGATTTCAGTGACAAAAAAGATGTGTGTCTAAGAAATGAGAAGTTCTTCCGTTGCAATTTCAACGGGCATTAAACTTTTCCTAATGGGAGTATATCCAATGTCATATTGGATTAATGCCTATCAGTTTGTGTGTATGTTTGTCCATGTGTGTGTAATATTTACTTGCATATTTGAAGTATGATGGACGAGAGAGGGTTCGAATTTGGAGTTCCAGCAGAGACAAGAGTTTTCTCTTCTCCACGTCGTCCAGATCGGCCCTGGGGCCCACCTAGTCTCGTATCCAATAGGTACTGGGGGCATTATCCCCGGGGGTAAAGAGGCAAAGGAGTGAAGCTGACCACTCACCTCCAAGTAGTGCCGAGGTCATGAAAATTTGGATTTATATATCCAATCTCGCATACGTCTTCATGGCGTAGTCCTTAATTAGTTAAGCACAGGGACAACTTTATTATTTTGCTTTTATTAAAGTAAGGAATAGGCAAGGAGTGGTAAATTGCTAGTAGCAATTATTACTAAAATATTTAGGATTGCATTTCAGTCTTCCCGTAAGCAAGCGGCTAGACTTGTGGACAGATAGCAACCAGAGGGGAGCCTATAGTTTGCATTGCATGTTTTCATATGGAGTGCAGGGGGCGTGTTTCCATTTTGTCTCATAATTGAAATCTCAGTTTAATAGATACGTATATTTCTTGGCACAGAATGTAGTATTGATGTAACCAAAGACTTGGTAGCAAGGTTGCAGGAGAGAGATGGTATGCCAAGGTTATGTCTGATGTCACTTGTTTTTGAGTTACTTTTTATGAATTTATTTCCATACTGAAACTCAATGTCAGCAACAGGTTCAGGGACAAGTTGGTGTGTGTTTAACCCACCCTGTTTTATTGAGCTGCATGTTGTACTGTTGTGCTTCAGGATAATAGCGATACATAGGAAACTTCATTGATATATAAAAAGAAACTAAAATGGTGTGACAAAGGGGCCAAAGTATATGCCGCTCTCCTTCAGATGATTTCATTGTATTTGCGGCCTATGTCCCATATTTTAGAAAGTTATGTAGGCTCGTAGTATCCATATGCCTCTGTGCCTGCTCTCCTCAACAACTCCAAAGCTAGTTCAAGGATTTCAATAAAACTCGATAAGTACAGCAAAATACCACCATAAGTCATTCAACCTTTTCGCTTTTTCATTTCTTGTTATGAATAATGCCAACACGACGGCAGTGGTAGCTTCTGAATTGATAGCGTGGACAGTAAATTTGCTCTGTGCCTATGAACAGCAGAATGAGTGTGTCTTAACTTGGCTCGCCAAACGACACTCTCGAGTGTCGAGTCTATATAGCGTCTGTGATAGGACAACTAATTAATGTGACGCGGTTTCCGAACGAGAAATGGCGAACAAAATTGCAATGCTTAGTGCCACTTTGTCCACTACAAATCCCTGTTGAACTAATCTGGGATCGAACTGGACCGCAGAGGCTAAAAGCAGGCGACTAATCGTATGAGCTGTGGCATGGCCATAAAGTTGTTTAGGAACAATGAAAG